TGGCAAACACATTGTCTTTTAGGATGCTGTTAGTACTCCCAGGGACCAATTTCAGATGGCTTTAACCAGATACAACAGTTTGGAAGCCACTAACTACCCTTAGGAAACAACAACATGCACTTGCATACACTTACACACATGGCTGACTGTACTGCTGGTCACACTAGGCCCCCTCCCCCCCATCACAAATGATCAGGAGACGAGATTTTTACTGCTGCAATGTATAGCACCAGATACACCCTCCTGGAGCTCCTTCAAATTCAAGATCATCTCCTGACAGTGTATAGGAAAGGGACATGGGGTTGAATAGAACACGTGTGATACTCTTCCCCCCCCCGCCCCCCTCAAGGCAGTGGTTTTCACTCACCAGCACTTCCACTACAGTAGGCACCAGGGAGGCCAAGAGGCCAGGTGGAGCATGCAAAACCTCAGAGCAAAAGCGGACAGCCCTGCGCAGGATCCGACGCAGCACCAGTCTGAAAACAGGGCAGGATTTGCCAGGCAGCCATCTGAGCATCCCTGTCCAGCTCCACATCCAGCACACCCCCTGTCCAGCTCCTATGGCCTGACCTATCAACACAGGCCAGCTGGTCCCCACGCACTGCACCCACCCAAGGATGAGCCTGCAGATTGGAAACCCTTCTAGGCTCCTATCTCCCTGCCTCCCTGAAGCTTGTGCACTCCCTCCCGTCTTGGGCCCACGACAGTACCTCTATCCTGGCTGTCCATATTCCTTTTTAGATCTAACTCCCTCCACCGCACACCATTTCCTTATGTCCTTACTCCGCTCCAGAGAAGCCTGGGTAGATGCCATCAGTGATGCACACGCACAAGGTGCGCACGTGGTCTGCCACCACCCGGTAGGCCATATTCACACGCCCAACATCAGCATCCCCAACTAGACCTTGGTATTTGGGCCCCTTGCAGCCCTAAAAGAGTAAGGATATAGATTAGAATAAATTAATGACTGCAGAAGGAAGTTTCAATACAAGAAGCAGCCAGCTACACTTGACATCATGCTTCTCAGCTATCTCCAAACCTTATGCATCCAAGACATACTCATTAAATCCTTCCAGAACATTATCAACAAAGGCTTCTGTACCTAAGACAGGTCAGCCAATGCCTTGGCTCTAAGGAATTTAAGAAATTTTGGAGGAAACACAGATCATCAGTGCTGATATCCCTGTGGATTTCCAACCTGGAATTCTCCCCAGTTTCCCCAGAATGCTACTCTGGACCTGGCTGGACATATTTCCTGTCTCAAAATACCACACAGTAACATGTGTGGAGAAGGCTGTACTATGGTACCAGGTAAGCAGTCTGCATTCAAGGAGATTTTGCTTAGCTGTGACTCTGAGCAGAAGCACTGTCACCTTGTGAATGGCATCCAAGATGGGAGTGAAGAGATCTGTGTCGTAGTTGGAGCGTTTGTTCTGCAGAACTGTCACAAGTCTTTCCAGGCCCATTCCTGTATCCACATGATGCTGTGGCAAGGGAAGCAGATTCCCCTCCACCTCTCTGTCAGCCAGCCAGGAAAAATAAGACAAAAAAAAAAAAAAGAAGGGTCAGTTCAGGGGGAAAGAAAAGGAGCAGGTGAGTCAAAAATAACAGAAGAGTGACAGGGAATGGAAACAGCAAGTGACCCAACAAAAGGAAGCTCAGGGACAAGACTAAAAGCAGCCTGCCCAGGCACTGTTGGGCAGCCAGGATCTAACTGTCATGACAGACTGTAACATAGGGAAAAATGCCTTCCCTGAACAGGGGCCCAGGGCCTTCTCCTCCTACAGATTACTCTTGGCTGCTGAAGACCTCAAGAGACCTCTGGGATGCAGCAGTAAGGGAGAATAGGCAGCAGAGATTGAAGGAGGACAGAACAAATAAAGCAAAGAGGACCAAGAGCCACCCTGGACACAGCCACAGCTTCTCTCTTGTTCCTGTACTGCCTCTTCCTGGAAGGCAGTAAGGTGTCTGAGGATATACACATATGATCTGGGAGTCAGCCAAGGGGGAAAGGCTCTGGAGTTCAGAACAGGTGCCTGGTACCTGCTGTACTGCATGAAGACCAGGTTCCAGATCTCCACTACATCAGGGTTGCCCTGGTTCACCAGTGCCGCAGCATTTCTGCCACCGCCCACGTGGTCATAGTGAATCTCTGTACAGGGACCGCAGGGACCTGTGTCCCCCATCTCCCAGAAGTTGTCCTTCAATGGAAAAGGAAGCACGTGACTTGCAGGCACCCTGGAAAGGCAGACAACAGAGGTGGCAGTGCTGGGGCATGTACACAAAGCACACAGTAGCCTAGATGACAGAGAACGTTGGAAGGGAGGAATCCTTTCTGACTACTGCAAACTTAATAACTAAACACATTAGGATTCCTTTGCTTATATTCACCCAGAATTACTCTCCTTAGCAGGAACAAGCTGGACTAAACCAGACTAGGATCCCCCACTCACTGCCCAGAATGGCTAGCAAACATGGTCATGCTCCCGCTGACAGAGGCAGGCTCTCCACTGGGTCTGTGGAGCTGCCCTCCTCCTTGGAGGGATTTCCAGCAGAGGTAAGACCTGATTGCAGCGGACAAGGCTGAACACCAACAGTGGCATGGAGCTGGCTTGGGTTCAAAGCCCACATACAGCCTGCAACAAGCTCCGAAAGCACAGCAGTACTCTCTGCAATGGCTTCATCCTCTCACTGAAGCAGTCATGGTCAGGTTTCAGGGGAGAATGTAATCTCCACAGCTCACCATGGAGAGGAAGCAAAGGATCGGAGATCCTTCACACACTTCATTCCAGGCCATCCAGTCCTAGGCACACAGCCCCCCAGACTGAAAACATCTAAGAAACAGCTTAAAGGTCAAGAAACCCAGAGGAGTCAGAGGTCAGCTGACTTTTAACAGCCCAAACCAGAAACAAAATGAATTTAAAACACAGCTTTTGGCACCTCTGAATCCCACCAACTAAAGAGCAAATGGAAGACTATGGATGAAACATCAGCACCTGCTGCTCAGAACCTCTTCTCTAACACACTTACCCCAAGCGGAGCCATACGTCCTTGCACTCCTCATCTGCGCTCAGCCCCAGCGAAGAGTCTCCGCCAAAATAGGTGACGTAGAGACGATCTCTGGGGATCTCGTAGACCTCTGTCAAGAGCTCCCAGGCCATGCTACATGCCTCCTCCTGAGCAGGCAGAGAACATAAATGAAGCACAGTAATCCAGGATGCACAGTGATGCAGGAAGTCTCTTTAGCATCGGAGTTAAACATCAAAGAAGTTAATTCTAGCTGTTCTCTCCCCATCCAATTTTAAGGTGCAGGATGACGGTCAGGTGAGTGAGACAGCTCACTGCCGCCTGTGGAAAACTGACATTCCTGAACTGTTAGGAGACTATCAGGATCACAGCATAGTCTATGCCCATGTGCTCACCAGCAGAGTTACACCGATTACTTTCTTTCCAAGGAAAAAAAATACTCTCTAGCAAAACAACTAGCATCTTTCATCTTCCTTCCTTTTTCAGACTTTCTAGTAACAAGCATCAAATGAACTAGAAACCTCTGTTTACCATATTAAACGGCCAACACGGGCATTCACACAGAAAACTTTGATTTATGCGTGTTGTTCACAGCTGCAAAAGACTGAGCACTCTGAGAGTCTGCAGGGCACATTTAGTGATTCAGCACACCAGCCACCATTACCTCTGCTCCAGGCCACAGAGCTCCCACAAAGTAACTTGGAGCTTACCAAAACGCCTTCTGCAGACAGTCCTGCTGCACTACAGCACAGCTCTGAAAAAAAGGCCACGTTTCTCCCTGAAGAGGGTTTGCTCTTATTGCCTCACCTTAAAGTAATCCCCAAAGGACCAGTTCCCCAGCATTTCGAAGAACGTGTGATGGTAAGTATCGCGGCCCACATCCTCCAAGTCGTTGTGCTTCCCTCCGGCACGGACGCACTTCTGGCTGTTCACCACCCGCCGGTGCTGTGCCAGCTCGCTCCGGGGGTGCACCGTGCCCAGGAAAATGGGCTTGAACTAGAAATCAAGGTAGAGGGGCGCCCGCTATTGCCAGATGCCGCCCAGCGCTGGGGACTCTGCCCGAGACTCCTGAAACACAGGCGCGGCGCTACGAGAGGCGAACGGGAGGGCAGCGGGGCGGTAAGCCCACCCCACCGCAGGACACCTCCGTAAAAGGGGTCACCCGCGACGGGCCGCGCTCCTCCGCAGACGCGGAGACACCGGGAAGACAGCGGAAGGGACCCGCGAGAGCGGGCCGCAGGCGGGGACAGCCAGAGCCCCGGCCCGGGCAAGGTAGAGGCGAGGGGAGGCAGCACCTGGTTCATGCCCGCGTTGACGAAGAGGGAAGGGCGCGTTTCGGCACCGGTAACGTGCGAAGGAGCGGAGAGCACGCCTTGGAGTCTGATTTGCCAAGTTTAGGTTGTTAGTCTGTTTTAACACGGTCTCGTATTTAGGCAGGAGTTGTGTGATGCAGTAACTCTTTTTCAGTAATCATGATTTTTCAATTGAAAAGCCCAAGTAGGCCCTAGTACTCTTTCCCTTAAACCCAGCAGGCAGAGATGTGTGTTGAAGTTGGGATGCTGTAGGAGGATCGATGTTCCAGTGGTCAAAATCAAGTAGTGAGGTGTTGCAGGTTCATGCTGTACCTAATTCCTTTGTGCTTATGCACTGCATATGCTCTTGTCTTTCAGTGGTAGGTAACTCTTGAAGCAAACATACAGTTTTGTTACTCTCCCATGTGAAGCCGGCAGGTGTGCGAGCATGCTCTGTGAAGGACTCAAGTTAATACATCTTCAAAACGTGCAGCCAGGGCTCTTGTCACACAGATACCCTGTTGTGCAGAGTATCTAATTCGAGACGACATTGCTCTGGCTGTGACAGTCCTTGTCATAGGCAGCAGGGTGACTGATGGCATCCGGGTACTGCAGGCCACAGGCTGGCCTGTTATCTCCAGTGAAAGCGGTTTGTGCTTTAAATGTTGGTGCCAAACTGTGCCACTGACGTGTGGGGTTGTGCTATGGTCTGCCAGTACTGCTGTGGGCAGCAGCAAACTCCAGTCCTCAAGTGGCAATGTCTCAGCCCCCTGCTGGTCCCAGAACTTGATCGAGGGGAAGTTTGGAAGTTTTGTGACTGGCCCTATGTGGTCTTAACTGTATCTGATGTGCGTGACTGAGTGTTAATAACAGGAGTCTTTATCCATCTGAGCCTCTACTTCTTATATATGCAACCCAAGTTGACAGAACACTAATATATGTGGAGCATTTAAGAGGTAGAGACCCACATGGTTAAATTTGCTTTCATGATCTTAGTCTGCTTCCTTGCATTTAGTTATGACGTGGGAGTCCAAGTTCTTGCTTTAAACTTGGGTGAGACCTGCTCAGGTAACGTGTAGCATCTTGCCATCTCCTAGGAGTTGGAAGGTGTGATGCAAATGAACTGGGATTACAGGGAGAAAGAAGGACAGCCTTCATCTAATGCATAAAAAACAGAGTGCACTTTTATAATATTCGTCACCAGATTTAGCTGTGTGTTTCTGCTAAGAGGTGTTTGTTCTGCTTTTTCTGCTGTATTCCATTGGATCCATGCAGTTATCCAGTTACACAATAAGTTGACTGAAAACTTGTGCAGCGCACAGATGAATAAGAAGAGTGTGGATGATTATCAGATCTTGCAAAAGAGGCAGTGGAGGGCTGTGCTTTAGAGCTGTTCTTTAAATGTCAGCCTGCAATTAGATCAGATTTAATAAGATACTGTGAAACGGTATGATTAAATTATGTCCCTTCTTCCAGAAGATGCTATTAGAGTCTAATCAGATTATTTAGATCACTTTCACTACTGGTTATGAACTGCGCATAGCTTAGTTTCTGAGCTGTAAGATTGATGGTGTGATTTAATTGTGTATTTAGGGTGCAGTTACATGTGCATTTTTTTGATGGCAGTTTTCTGGCTATTTTCTCGTATGTCTTTCCTGTTCACAGACAGTTGAACAGATGCAGCTAGCAAAAGAAGGTAAGAAATAATCTCGAGACCCATAAACAATTGTACTGGTTTGAAGAAATGGTGTTTAGTTAAGTAATCACTAAGGTGGGACAGGGATGGATTGAGAGTGGCTTTGAGAAGCTTTGCTGCTGAGGAGGATTTCCATGAAACCAAGGCAGTAACCTGGCTTAGAACAATCAAATTTTCCTTGCTGTGGGAGAAGGGCTTCAAACATGCAGGTTTCCATCTTCTATATACTCTTGAACTTAAATAAAAAAAAATCATATTACCCTAGATTTTTAAGTAGCTATAAGATGCTAATCTAGATAGATTTCTGCTATACTACTTAAACTGAAGTGACATAAACTGAATTTACCATGTTGTTCCTGCTTACAGTTACTAAACTCTTTATTTTCAGGTAACTATAGGCCGAGGATTAGATCTCACATACCAGCTGGTGTCAAAAACCTGTCCCTTGATGATCTCTCGTAAGCACTGTGTTTTCCAGCAAAATGCAGAAGGGCAGTGGACTGTCAAGGATAACAAGGTACAGAGGCTGATTAAAGACCTTGTACTCAGATTCACTGAAGAGAGTGACCTGTTTGGGCTCAAACAATGTATGAGCTGTGATATAATATGGTATAAGTATGATTGAAGGCCTGTGGGAATGTGTCTTGCCTGTTGTGCACTTTGAGCAGGAAGCTTTGGTCTGCTGCAATTGGGATACAAACTGTATTGCTTTCTGTATAGATTTGGTTTAGTATTTTTCAGGCAATTGTAGTCTTGCCAAGGGTACTTTGTGGTCTGTGAACCTGTTTTGTCTTGCTTTCTCAAAAAAGTCCTATGAATTTTGGCAGTATTCAAAAGGATAATGTTCTTGTACTGCTAGTGAGAGGATAAACTGATACTCCCTATTCTAATGACACAGTTGCTTTAATTGTCATCAACTACAAGAAGAATCTATTGTTAGAAAAATCATGCTTCATGTTTTGTTCTGATGAGTTTCTTCTGAAAGTCCTCCTCAGCTCATTAGAATAGTGTTGGCATCAGAGTCCTCAGCTAAGTCTCACTTTGAGTTTGGTAATCCTTTTTTTGTATTATGATCTCCACTTTCTCATTCAGGCTGAAAACTGTAAAATCAGTAGCTTGCTTTAAAGCAGCACTGGTAGAACAAAAGTGTTTGGATGTTTGGGTCAGCAGCAGATTAGTCAGAAACGAATAGAGTGGCTACTATTAAAATTACACTGCTCTTAAACAAAACTGTTGTACTTGCATAAACTTAAAAACTTACAGTTATTGCATGCTTTGAAACATCTGTGGTAGATTAACATTTCCTTTGTGTTATCACTGCTACTAGTTCTTTTGAATCTTTGAGATACGTCAGTTGTTTATGATTCTGCAGTTCATCTTGAGTATGGATTAGTTCCACTGTTTTTCAAAACTATTTCTCAAGCTAGTGTCTAATTTAAAAACTTGTGCTTTGAACGTTATCTCTAGAAGAACATTTTTCTTCTTGTTTATATTCTCCTTGTATTTATGGGGAAACTGTCATTTTTTTCTTTAAGCGGTATAAACTATGTGCCTTTTTCTTTTCTAGTTTCTTCTTGAATTTCAGGTGGCATTAATTGTGAAGAATAATTACTGCACTATTTTATGTTCTTGACAATGATCTATTGCAGAGTCTTCTTTTTATCAAATAATTCATATTTCTGAAGCTCTTGGGCAGTTTTTTTCCCCCTTAGAGTTTATTCTTTTCCTTCTGCACAGGCACATATATTAATGTTGTTCTTAGTGCTTGTACACAAAATCTGTAATGCAAGAATAGTGCACGGTAAATAACGCAATAACTCTAATAAATGTGACACTAAGTCAATAAATTGGATATTGCAAAGTTTATTTAAAGAGGTGGCTTATTCTGATTGAAACACCGAAGAGGTTGGATATGTTTACAGTTGCCATGAATAACTTGCAGAGGACTCTGCAACTGCATATTAAATGTTGCTGATTCTCTGTTAATTTGCAGAGTCTAAATGGAGTCTGGCTTAACAAACAGCGCCTGGATCCCTCAAAAACCTATCCTATCACTGAAGGAGACCACATCCAGTTGGGAGTGCCTTTGGAAAACAAAGAGACTGCGGAATATGAGTATGAAGTAATTAAAGAGGAATGGGAGAAAATCAAACCCTTTTTAGCCCAAAGGAATGACCTGGGGAAAGCTAAGAGTTCAAGAACTAAACGTAAATTTAGTTTGGAGGAATTGGAGACGTCTGGATCAGAAGGCCCTTCAAACTCAAGATCCAAAAAAGACAGAGTGTCCTGTGACAATGAACCTCTGGGTAAATCATGGGAAAGAGTAGAAGAGGCCAAACAGTTAACAGAGAAGATGGATGTCAAGCTGCTTTCTCCTGGACCAAGCGAGGGGGATAGTGGTCCAGTGCGTAGTAGCCCTGGGCACTCTGAGAAAGCCGTGCATGTCCCCCATAAAGACCAGAAAGGCTCTGGTCTTGCAGAGTCATGGACTGGCTTGGAAATGCTGAGGAAAACTCTAGTAGATATAATGAAGTTAAAGGTCAAAGTGCAGGAGAAGCAGACAGCAGTTCTGAGTGTGAAGCAGAAGCGCAGGAAGTACACTCAGAAGGAGATCATAGCAATGGAGCAGGAGCTCCAAGAGTTGCAGGACCAGCTGTGCATGGAACAAGAGCATCATCAGCTGCAGGTGCAAGAGCTGGAGAGGACATTCTCAAAACAGCAGCAGAAGCTAGAGGTATAATGGTGGTAATCTTTTTGGCCTGTGTCTTTTCATTTTTGTGGAATGCCTAATATAAAACATTGATCCAAAATAAGATATTGAACTATATGGTAACACAAATAATGTTTGTGTGAATTACTGCTGTTAAAAGTGTCATCGAAGTATTTCACTTCCATGACTGTGCGCCAAAAGAATGTGTGGACACAGAAGGGATTGAGTTGCATGGGGAATTAAGAAAAAGGTGCAAAATAATATTTACTTATTTTTTTACAAACAGCTTTGTTACAGCAAGATAGTAAAGTCTTTCAGTTAGTGAAAAAGCATGTTTTTAAAAAATACCAAAAGTCTTTGCCTGATCTCCTGTGGTTATAGAGAGAGACAAGTCAAAAAGTACTCACCTGAAGTGCAAATTTCTCATGGTATATGGATGAATTAGTGCCCAGTTTGCATGGCAAATCCATTCCCTTTCCAAGCAAGTGAATAATTGTATGTCTTAATCCCTGGAGGGAGGAAGGTTTTTTTCATACTTTGCAAAAAACCCTTTCTTGCAATCTGTGTCTTCAAGCAGTGTGTGTATGTTAAGTAGCTTTTTTAGATAACAAGCTGAAGTCTTTCTATTTGAGTTTGCTCAAAATCTGGTTTAAAGGAAGTAAGAATTCATATTGGAGTGTGTTTCATTATTTATCAGTTACTTCATTTAAAGTCTGCTGCTAAAGGTAAGTATGGAAAATCTGGAGTTGTGTGCTTAGGCACTATGGGAAGTTCAGCTGGTGCTGTAGGTACATCTGACCTCTTTGAATATCCTCAAAGATAGAGTTGCAGCTTTTTCTCATGCTTAAGCTGTTGCTGACCTATCTGCTTCTATGAACATGCTGGTGTCTTTAGAGCTAGAATAATGTGGAGGTGTTCCAAGTATGTAAATGACATATCCATTTTAGCTCTTAACAGTAAATAATACATCTTAATTTCTGTTGTACATGTGTAACACTGGAGTGGGACATCCCAGGGTTTGCTGAAAAAGTGTTGTTTATTTAAGCATATCCTTTAAAGAGAGTGTGCAGGGTAGTAATTTACAGTCCCTTGCTTTCTTCAAGTGTTTGAGGTTTTTTTCTTCCACCTTCTTTCTTTCCTCCCCAGGGAGTAAAGTGGCAACATGGGGAAGAAAATCTGAAGGAGCAGCTGGCCCAGGTCCTGCAAGAGGCAAGTAGTTATGAGTCTAGGTTTGGTCTAACTGTGTAACTCAGATATTTAAATCTTTCTTACTGCTGTGGCCTCTTGGTAGAAGACAAGGACTTTGCCTTAGGTGTGGATTGGGTGATCTTCATCTACAGACTAAATTTCTGTCAGAAAGTGGCAGACCTCACTTTGTGGGAGTTGCTGTTTGCCAGCAAATATTGTGATAATATGCACTCAGATTGGAAGCATTAAGTAGCTGCAATTACTTTTATTTTAATGTGGTCCTTTGTGAGGTCTGTCTGCTGGTTATCTGTTTTGGGGAAGTTATTTTGGCAATTTTAACCAGATGAAAAACATTTCCCTCTTGGTTAGGAATGTTTTTGAGAGATTGCCACGCACTTAGGTTTCCTAGGCTTTTTTCAAAAGACCTTTCCTTTTAAAAAGTTAATCTGAAAACAGCTTCAGGTAACCTTGCATACAATGACAGGTTTTTGTGGTCCTTATGTGTCAAATACCCCTTGATACTCCAGTGTCTTGGATATACTTAAAAATGGTGGCTGTAAAATTACTGAAATGGAAGAACAACCCGGGAGAGGGAATGAGAAGTGCCATGACACTGGGAAGGTTATAAATAACTGGCACTACATTTCAATTTTAAGTTACAGCTAAATGGCCTTAACACCTCAACTCCATATATAGACATGTGTTGCTCTTTTAGGAGAAGATTAGGAGAAATGAGTATGCTGAACCTCGTAATCATGGCCATGTATATTTAATAGCATAGCTTGTAATGGCACTCATATCATTTCTGGGATGGTATTGTTACAGCATCATGCTTTGATGGAAGAACTGAGCCGTAGTAAAAAAGATTTTGAGGAGATAATTCGAGCAAAGAATAAAGAACTGGAAGAAACCAAGGTAAGCAATAACTGAATTCTCAATTTTATTCATAAGTGAAACATGATATGCTGCAGCAGAGGACATAGTTTATTTAACATTTGTCTTGACTGTACTTTGCCTCCAATAGTGAAAAACTCATGTATTTTGAGGTGGCAGCTGACTCTAGGATTGGGGCAGGATACACCTTGCTGTGTTCAGAAATTGGTGTTGAACAGTCATTGCTAGATCTTTCTCAGTGATAAAGCAAGCCCAGAGAACCTGAATTTTGTGTTGTGTGGGAGAAGTGGGCCCATTTCACCCTTTCTTTAAAAAAAAAAAAAAAAAAAATTTTTAAAAAAAAAAAAAAAAAAAAGTATGTTTGAAAAATGAAGTATTTCATTTTCAGTTAGTGCATTCAAGTAAAACTGCAGTGTTCCAGCAGTCCTACAAGGGAGTGTAGGACTGAAACAACATGGAATTTGAATAACAAAGAAGATAAACCACAGTTCTTCCTGCCCTTGACACAAGGTTATGTGTGGAAAATAAAGGAGATCCTTTCCTGTGTTTTGTTTTTTTTTTTACTCTTGGGAGTTATCCCATTATCCACTTCTGGCTGTTTGCTTTATGGGTTTTTTTGTTGTCTTTGCAGCTCTGTTGCTGTTTCAAGTACAGCTTCAATTGGAAGAATTTCTGTTATTTTTAGGAGATAGAGCAGGTGCCTATTTAACTGTAAACAAACAAAAAATAATAATTGGGCAGTTAAATGGAAGTAAATGTCTTAAATTCGTACACTTAATTTTTTTAATATTTGAGGTATTTTTTCTGTTGGGTGCTTTTCTCTTTTACATCAGACGTTCTGTTGACTTAAGCCAAATTCATGCCAGGAAGAGGTTGAAAGAGATTCTGAAAAGATTGATCCAGCTGGTAGTTTCTTTAGGCTGAAGGGAATTTTGGTAACAGCTGCTGTTCTTGCTTGTAAGTTCTCTGCAGTGGGTGGGAATATTTTCCATACTGGTGTAACTACAAAGAGGAGAGAGGTTATGGATCTAAGTGTCTAATACACGGGCTTGACATGTGGAGACTTGTAGCTGTGTGATTTCCTACTTTTACTACCTTCCCCTGTGCATGCACTTCTTGCCAATGTTACATTGTAAAAGCTTGTTCTTCCTGATGCATGACCATATGTGCTTTTCTACTAGGAGGAGAAGGAGAAAGTGAGAGCCCAAAAAGAAGAGGTGTTGAATCAGATGAATGATGTGTTGGAGAATGAGTTGCAGTGCACAATCTGTTCTGAGCACTTTATTGAGGTATGTTTAAACTGTTATGGGTTTGGCAGTAAAGACATGAGAAGCTTTCCCTAGTTCTATTAAAGCAATAATCAAGGTTATTTATTTACTTTTCTAGTTTAACAGTCCCAGCAGACCCACAGTGAGTTGTTGGTACCAGTTGGTCCAGAAATCCATTCTGTCTGCCCTAACTCTTCCCCTGGGCAGCAAGTTCAGCTTTAATGTCTCTACCTGAATAGAGATGAGTGCTTAAATCTTAAGATGCATGTAGGCTTGCAGCAGTTTAGGGTGTTTTTGAACAGGTGCTCTGAGCTGCTGCTGCTGACAGCCTGCTTGGAGAAGAATTATTTTGTAGTAGACCTTGCTTTAAGTTCACTAAGGTTGGACTGCTTCAGGTTTAGATATAGGAAGAGGTTAGTAAAGAAAGGGAGGTACAGTGTTCAGTCAAGTCCTGCCCCCTCTCTCTCTGCTGGGGAAAACTTTACTCTATCCTGGCTGAACCAGGACAATATTGTTCAGATAAACTCTTTCTTTGAGATATTGGTCTGCCTTCATTTGATTCTAGGAGTGATAGGCTATGTCTGAAATGTAGACTGTTACTTCTGTTTGTGTTTTGCTAGAACTTCAGTTTCATTACATTCATTTCTACTACAGAAGATCTGATGTGTTAGCCTTGTTCTAATGACTTAACAGCTAGCTGAAATTTTAATTTCTGGTTTCTCAGTAAGTTAAGATGCTATTCTGCAGTATCTGAGTTTTTCCATAATTCATCCTTTCCAAATTGAGGAAACTTTTATAATAGAATTAACTATTTCTGTCTGTGTTTTGGACTTGCTGTGATCTACAGTGAACCCATTAACCAATTTGTAAAACTTGTCTGCGCTCTGGCATGGGAGAGTTTTTGTGTGTAACCCCTACAAAGGCTAAAGAAAAAGGGGCTTTCGGCTTCTTCTCCCCCTTTCCCTTAGAGGAAGTGTTCATCTAATATTTTCATGACCTCAGTATTCTTTTCTTGCCAATGCTTGTGTGAGCATGCTCTGATAAGTATCCTTCCGTCGAGTTCCACAGGCAGTCACTCTGAACTGTGCACACAGTTTCTGCTCCTACTGTATCAATGAGTGGACGAAACGTAAAGTGGAGTGCCCTATCTGCAGGCAGGAGATCAAATCAAAGACACGCTCTCTGGTCCTGGATAACTGCATTGACAGGATGGTAGAAAAACTGGATGTGGAAATGAAAGAGCGTCGCCTGACCCTTATCAGAGAGCGGAAAGGTGAGAGGTGGGTGGATGTGGCATGATGACTACAATCTTTCATAATATCTATCTCTCATAACTTTCTTTGGCACCTATATACTGAGGAGATGCTTGGGGAATGCAGCAGAAACACTAGAAAATTAATGTTAAGATATGTTTTGTAACTAGGTTTACTGCACAGTAAAATAAAATTAATAAAAAGTTTGGAAAAAGACTTTGGTATGAATTCCACAGTGGAATTGAGTGGGACAACTTAACCATGCTAAAGGTTATGCTGTTTCAAAGTGATCACTAAATAAAAGTAAAACCATATGGAATGGGCCTTGAAAAGTTTACCAGACATCTTTTGATTAAACTATTGACATTGACAATATAATTGCAAAACACAGTGCAGTGCCTGATGATGAACTCTGAATTATTTTTTGTGTGCTAGATTTGTGCAGAAAAACTCTGAAGGGAATGTTGGTGTGTCATCTTAAGTGAATGGCTGAAATGGCAGTTGCTCTGCCATGTAAACTTTTCTGGAGTTAAAGCCACTATGGCTTAAATGCATAACCTCTTGCCTACCTGTATCTGAAATATGTAAATCCATCACTGTCATGCACAGTAAAACTCCAGTATGGAGTATTTCTGTTCTGCTTCCCTCTTCCAAATTTGTTTCTAGAGCACTCAACACTGGTATCTAGGTGCTGAAATGTAGAAGTGTCTGCTACCCCTTAACAAATTTCTGTTGCTTTGTTCCCATAAATGTTTTGTTTTCCCCTCGTAGAACTGAATGCATGATGTTTCATTTTGCAGTGTGTCAAGCCTTTTACGTAAATAAAGGTGCATTTGAAACGTTTCAGATTCTTCATGGTGACATAGAGTGATACCATAACCATAAAGTCACATTAGTTCAAACCTGAAATTATAACCTATTTAACCAACTCGGTCTGATTCCCTCAGGAAATGCTACACTGCTCAGAGGCTGCCCAGCTCGGCTTCATGAATTGTTTTAACCTCCGCAGAACTGACACTGCTCTTATGTAATACACACATTGCAGAGTAGGCCATATTACTGTTGAAGTGTCTCAGCAGGTAGCAAATAGTGATTAGATGAAGTGGTGCCTTCATTGGAGCCCACTTCATTTCTGTATGGTAAACCAGTGGTCTTCATGCTTTTTTCCACAAAAAGGAAACAAGCTCATTGCCTATGTTCAAGTGTGATAGATGTTCTAATTATATAAATGAATATTAGTAGGAAATCATTTTACTTCACCATGACACAATTCAGAAGGAAGAAGGAATTGTGTCTGTGCAGTCTTTTTATTCAGTGATGGAAACATTTTGATTGAGATGAAGATAACCATGAATTCCTAAGAAGAAACTAGCTCAAAGAGAAATAATGATGCAAGTGGCACATTGTCAGAGCTCAGTCAGAGCTTCCCAAGAAGCCTTTCAGAGAGCCTTAGTAGAATGGGCACTGATAGGACTGCTTGCACTCTTAAATGTATGGAGGTTTTGATGGGACTGTGTTTGAAAGCTCCTTACCACATTTTGTTCCTTCCCTCTTTCCTACCTGGCAGGGCACTGTAATAGTTAGCCGTTTCCCTTGCCAGTTGTGTGCCAGTGAAGGGATGGAGAATGTCTCCTTCTCATCTGTGCTATCTTAACAGAAAAAGGTCTGTGCTGTGCAGCTTGAAAGACCTGCAAACTGGTGGTGAGAGGCTGCAAGTTTCTAAGAGAATTTAGTAATTTAGCATTTGTGGGTACAGTGGTCACTGCTAACTTTTGTATCTGTGTGTTTTGAATGCAGAGAAACAGAAAGTGTTGGTGAAACCAGCCACGGACAATGACAGCAGTATCATTTCTTCCATCTACTCCATCTTGTTGATGAGCAGTTGTGACAGTGAGGACTCTTGAGTACTCTTACTATAATGAAAGCTACTACATTATCTAAACACTATTACTGCAGACTCTTGCCTGTGTGCTGCCCAGAACCAACCTAATGGTGTTTGGTTGACTACTGCTGGATGAGTGAACTGGACATCTGGAAAGAGAGGCTCTGAAGAGGCTGGAGCTGACAACTAGCAGTGTTTGGAAGAAGGACCTTATTTTTTAAATGAATGTACAGAAGCTTGATCTCTAAAATGAGACTGGGATTGTGAGAGAACAAACTGCTGTTATGCTAGAAGGCTGACATACAAAACCTAGGCTTCTATGATCGCTTATGACCTGCTTGGTGTAATGTAATAGTTTGTATGCATCGCTGCCCTTTCCTTAGTGAATGACATGTTTAAATGTGTACATCAGCTTCACTTATTTCAGGAAGCAGAGGGAGTGGCTCAAGCTATTTGAGAACTTGGCCGTCCCCACCAGCAGGCAGGAGTGGTATATCTTGAAAAAGTGCCAACATGGGTTTTCCTCTTGAATTTCATATGGCAGCTAGAGTCATCCCAGGCCTCTGGCAGTAAGGATAACAAAGGGTGGGTTATGGATCTTGTCAGTATTAAGTGCTTAAATGCATTGTAAGCTGAGCTGCTGGCCATTAGTTTGCTCTGTTGTTGTTACTCATTTTCTGTTAAGATTGGGATGGAAAAGATGAAATCTGCCAGAATTCCTTAGCTAATGCTCTTTTCCTACAGTATCTTTGGTTTGTTCCCTCTTCACGCTTTTGCATAAAGGGTTTTAGGATTGGGAAGTGATGCATCCAGAAGCTGTGAGCAATGACTTCAGAAATGCATATAGTTCTTGTCAGCAGCAGAGAGGAACCTGCCTCTTCAGAAATGATGCTATCTGAAATGTTCTGTTGTCAGGGTAGGAAAGCCACGTCTGTAGGCAACCACAAGGCACAGAAGGAAGCATTTAGTTTTATTGTTTACAAAACATTGTTGAGCCATGGATTGTACTACCCTCACAGCAAATCCCTCACCCGTAAGAGATTGAGCAAGTCTTGCCTTATCTTCTCATGATTTTGTCTATGAGGTTCCATTTTCAGTGGGATATGCTTTTGACTTGGGTGTTACATGGGAAGGACTGTTTTACACTGTGAGAAGATGGGGGAAGCCCTTCTCTGTAGTATTTCTTTGGCTATTTGTATGTACTTTCTTGTGTCTATGTTTATTTTGTTTAAGAAGGAAAATATAAATCCATTTCTGCATTAATCTCCTTGGTGCAACCACTGAGATGTCTCTTCTAGTTGTCTTAGATTTTTTTGAGAAAACAGACTATCTCATTTTAATGACTTTGCTTCATGTTTTGATTGCAGTGTGACTGTTTTAAAATTATTTGAAAGACTGGTGTATTCAGGAGATGTTCAAAAACAATCTAACTCTTCAAGCCTGTGGCTATTCCAGTGGTAATCTAGTAGATACAATCATACCTCTTAACTTCTTCCACTAAAGAAAGTTTCTATTAAGAAGGTGCGTAAATGATGATGCTGTCCTAAGGAAGTAGTGCGTTCTGACAGATTTGATTGTTAGTACTGAGAGGGGAGGTAGGGCTGATCAGTGGGCCAGGCAACTTTCTTAAAATCTTAGTGTAATGTTTCTTTTGTGAAGGAGTCATTACATCTTGAGTTTTCCTCTTTTTAATGTTAATTTTCTGTATGTGGTCTTGAAAGTTTCTTTTGTGAATATGTGCTCTCTAGGATGTCTAAGAGGGTTCCTGAAAACACGTGTGAAATAGGCTGATGTTGGAACAGGCATTCCCAATGCAGAGGAGTAGGAGGAAAATATTCTGGTTACCTAGGACTGCAAATTTTTCTACTGTGTATGTCTTCCATGTTGCTGCTCTTCTTCTTGCTCGTTTCATTTTGCTAAATATATTTATTTTGTTATGTTCGTGTTTATGCATACTGCAGAGAAGGATAACTCTTCTGCTAGTAACTGAGTAGTACTTTAGTGCGATTTGTGAGTGTGTCCTGTTTTCACTAGAATATGAACAACACAAGTGCACACCAACCACTTCCACTGTTACTGGTATGTGCATAGTGTGTAAAGCTCCACAGAGAGGTTAAGTAATAATCCTGTTCACTCGCAGAAGCATTTCATGACAAAACCAGACCTCTCTTTACAGTTCAATAAGTTCCTCAGTAAAACTACTATTGGATACAGAGCTGATGACTAGGCATACAAAAGTGTCAGGCAAACTGTTGAGCTTCTGCAAAAGGTGTCCTTATTTCTAATACTCTCCTTTGGTCTAAGGTCTGGATCCTTTCTTCTGCTTGATTGTACATCTAAATGTCCCCTTGGAGATGTCAAGCCCTGAACCTGTTGGGGGATGGCATCGAGCACTTCCTGTCTGGCAACCAGGGTTTAGGTTACAACTCTGGGCTAGTAACTGTTGATGCACAGCTGGCTTGATGCAGGTTTGACTTGCTGCTTTCTGTTGGAAGGTAGCTGTCATGTAGTGTGATAAGCAGACACTTTCAGAGCAATATATTGTTTATCAACAGAGCAGGAGTAGCTGAGGAGTGCTCATGGATTGTGGAAAGGGGCCCTCACAGAGGGACCATGTGCTGTCTCATCATGGGTTCCAAGATCTGACAATCACTTTTTTCTTGCATGTGTAATCTACCACGTTAGTGCTTGGTGAGCCTTAGCAACAATTGACCTTTAACTGTGCAGAACATGTAACTAGCAATTTAATAATTCAGCTGTGTCCCACCCCCATTTAAATGTGTTTATTTTTTCCTGAAAGAGATGCTCTGACTAGTCCATGTTTTGCTTCTTGTTCAGTCCTTCCCTCCTGCCAGTCCATTTTGCTGTGACCAACTTTATGATTATCTAGTTGCTATAAGGTATATGTCTAAATATGTGAACTACACTTCCCAAAGAGCATAGTCCTGTCCCTTGGTGCTACTTTATTTTTGGTTTTTAAGATTAAGCATTCATGCCTGTGTACTGAGCTGTAAACCCCCAAGTTTCAAGACTAGTGTGAAGTACAAGACAGCTCAATTAGTGCTTGAAATCTTCATGATAAGTAATCTATAGACATGTATTAGGCTTTCATTGTGTGAAAAGATTTACCATCACTGGCCTTACAGAACCTGCCCTGGCTTTGCTCGAGTAACAGAGCTGCAGTTAGCTCAGGGTGACGTGCCTCGTGCTGAGCAGGCTCTAGGCTTTGCAGCTTCCCTGCCTCTAGGAATAACGACAGCTCCAGCTGCTGAGGCAGGGCAGCGGCCCGGAGCAGGGACGGGGCCTGCTGCCGGCAGTGGCCTCTAAGGCGGGGTGGGGGGGGGGCTACTCTCCTTCAGAGGCACAAAAAAAGCCGGTTTTCTTAGAAATTGCCACTTTCAAGGCAGCGGGGGAATTATTTGTCCGTTAACACTTTATGTGCATTGTTATATGCAATATATTTACAAAAATTATATATAACCTTTCACACAGAATTTCGATAAGCTCTCACCCCTGTACACCCCTGCCTCATCTCCACAGGGAAGGAGTGAGGCTGCCGTCTACCTGCTACCCCAGAGGGCCGGGCCCTGCTCGCCGCCTGCGCCCCGCCCTGCCGGCAGGGCAGGGTTTAGTCCTTTTGCTATGTTTATGCAAAGTTTTATCAGCCACATCCAGAAGCTTGATATCTTGCCAGTGATTCCTGTTGAACAACACAAACACATCCCAGCTTGAGTACACATATTTAATAAAGTTCTGTTATAGAAGTCATGTAGGAAAGCTCTTTTATTAATTAACATTTGCAGAGGTGAGGTCAGAGGTTGTCTGAGTCTCTTGTGAGAAGTTGGTCCCATCTTATATGTTCTCCATTAGTTGATCTTACTTCCTCATTTTTTTTGTGTGTTTGGGTAAAATGAATCTTTGATTCAATAGTAGTAACCAACTGTCAAATGTTTAAGTTATCCAAGTGCTGATGTCTGGGTTGTCTTCGTCTACTAGCATTTAATGGTCGGTAGGTTGTACAAATGATTTGAAATTCAAGTCTTCAGTAATAGGGAAGCTTCTGCAGAGATTTCATGTTTGTTAGACCAGGTATTAATAAAGGTAGGTTCAAAAGAAGCCAGTACTCCTACCTAAAGCAAACTTAAGTTGAGAAGCATAATACTGAATAGTCCCTAAAATTATCTATGCTGCCATGCTGCTGCGCCTTACCCTTCAGCATGCAGGAGAAGGTTAATTAGCTTAACGTTTACCAAGTGTGATCATCTTCTTTCAGTAAAAATGAAGAGAAGGACAGAATCTGAGTTTAGCAGCCCCCAAAAGAAGCAAAAGAAGAGGATAGAAGATTTGGGATTAACCCTCAGTTCTACTTCAGATGATGAAACTCAGTTTAGTAATCATACTACTCAAGGTAAGTTTGGAGATAAGGTATGTGCTGCTGTGGAGAATCTAAATAATAACTAGGAATTGAACCCACATCTACATCCTAATTGATAGCCTGAACTTCAAGGGTATGCTCTCTCTTTAGAAGAAAAAACACATTATTTTGTTCAAAACCTTGGATTGGTGTGACTTTTTTTTAGCTTTTTAAAAATCTCATGTAAACAGTTTGGTCTGGGAATTGTATGAATTCAGACAGAAAATAGAACTTCAGGTAGATAAGTACATCGTCCAGAGCTGCAAATGCTCTTCTAATATGTGAGGAACATTAATCTTTTCAGTCTCAGCAGTTATTTCTCTTTTGGATACTTTCAGTAGTGAGGAGTTGTGGGTGTTGTGCTATAAAGAAACATCCTAATTTCTTATTGTTTAAAAAATAATAATTTAAAAAAATCAGTAATCTTACCACATTTTTGCAGGTGGGAGAAATTGAGATGAATACAAAGGACAGGTTGGTTGGGACTTCTACATTGTAGCACCATCTCTTTTGCTGGCTCAGTGTGATTTTTGAGGGGAGGGAGGAATTGTGTGAACTCACAGGTGTTTGGTTTCAGAGTTAACTAAATTAATTGCCTACTTTTTCTCAAGTCAGAGCATGCTTTCTTATCTGGAGCTTGGGGTGTACTAAAGATGAGGTGAATGCCCCACACAATTGGTATTACTGTTGTGGGGCATTTTAAACTCTCCCAGGATGGTATTTCAGGTAGCCTCGTGGTCCTGTCTGCTACTTCTGAGTCATGGGATTTCCTGTGGTCATAAAATGTTAGTGAGAAAGGGCCTGAATGCATAAAGAAGCCTTCACGTTGTGAAAGTGGAAGGGGATGTGTATGGAAGATGAGTGGGTGAGTTTGGGGGTAGTTGTAGTGACAGTTTATGGTGTACGTACCTGTCTGGCAAGGCTGGAGGTGAGTGGGGAGGTTAGAGGTGCAGGGTGTGAGAGCTGGGGTAGGGACTGCTGGATGCACTCAGGGCTGAGCTAAAAAATGGAATAATTTTTAGAATTTTTTTCCCCCCTTTTGATCATTGAATTCATTGTGGCTCAAAATAGACTGTGAGCCTTAATGTTTAAAAAACAAGTTGATACAGTTCAAGGACAACATTTTGGACAGGGTTAATCGTTTAGTAGCCTGTTACACCCATTGTGATTTCCAATGAAAGGGGGAAGGTTGGGGGAGAGAGGCGGTTTGAGATCTGATCTCAGCTAAGCATGGCCTAGCAAGTATTAAAAGCAAGAGGAGTTGTGAAGGGACTTTCCTGAGATTTATGTAGTGGGTTTTGTGTTCGAGGCACTTCATGAGCCTCTGGGAAATAAGACAGGGCTCAAAAGCAGGCAGCACAGTTAATTGAAGCTGTGTACTGGAGAAGCAGAAAGCAGTATCTGACCCTAAAGCAAAATCCTTTGTGATCGTGTTCATATCTAAGAACTTTGTGAAGGAAAGAGAAATGTGGCTTGTGTGACAGATGTTTGAATGTCAAGATGGGTGTCTAATATTGTAAACATAAGTTAAATCCTACCCTTCCTTGTCTTGAACTTGAAGCCTCAAATGTTGATACTGTAGAACACTAGCATAGTAATTATGTGGGGACACAAGTCCTGAATCTTAAAAGCCAGTAGTTCAACGACAGGGATTGAGTACACATTGGAAGGATTTTAACTACAGTTGTGTATTTCACTGTAGTGTATTTCATTTTCACTTCACTTTCTTGTAATGGCCTTTCTTTTACTAATTTTCCAGTTGTTTCCTGTTATTTCACTAATGCTCAGTTTTCTGTAACAGGGAAATACAGAGTGTGTTGGGAGAGAAATAATCTGTGTTTCTTCTTAAATCAGAAAAATGTCAGAAGTTTAATTGTTCTTTCTAGGTAATCATAATGTCTTTTTTTAAACACTTCTATATAGCTAAGTAATTCCTTTTAAAGGAAAGTATTAACTCTGCTACAACAATTTTCTGCGTTATCTCAGGGCACTTTCTGTAGTTCAACTTCTCTTAGTTGTATGAGGTAGCAAAGAATGATTCTAGCACTCAGTGAACAAGGGAGGCTCAAGAGTCAGAGGTCCAGTGAAGAGTGTGGCTGTGCTTGCTGTGGATTGCTGCTCCAGTAGTCTGTATGGCCTGCCCCACAGCATTAACTTGTATGACTGATGCCATGCTAGGCAAATTTCAGGAAAGGAAATTAGTGCCATTACTTCATCCTTGTAAAGATACTGCCTCAGGAGAAGCGGAAGGACTCAGTGGGTTGTAGGGCCTCCCTCGCTACCCACCTGGTGTAGAGCAGGCTGAGACAAATTATATAACTGCTACAATTCCTGCCCAGATTGCAGTTACATCCAGTCCAGAGCAATTAAGTTTGGGCATCTCACAACTGTAGATCAACAGCGAGGTCTATACAGCTCATACAGGCCTAGGTTCTTCCCAAGCAGATCCCAGGGTGGAACTGGGCATAGACTGAACTTCATTGTTTGGTGCCCATGAAGGCTCTGCTGCATCAGTTTCAGGGGATTTTCAGGTGACAAATGTTTATTTTGAGTGCCTGTTGTGTATGGTGGTACTTATCACCTTGATTGGACCATTGACAGGATTAATTTCTTCCTCAAACTTTTATCTCTGTCAGGGTGTTTTAAAACTAGAATAGTGTCTTCTGTTGTTATCTTTCACTTAGGTTTGTATGCATCAGTAAACTCTAGATGTGAAAAACTCATTTGCTGTTGTGAACTTATGGATCCTTGCTACTGATTGGGGTTGTGGAGTCAAACTGAAGTTTAATATGGGGACTAAAGGATTTAACTCTTTTCTTTCTGCAGGGGTGGCTGTTTGGTAGATGCCTGTGTATTTGATGTGGATTTTGGTTAAGTTAGGGATGTGTTTACACCTGTAGTTAGGTAGGAAACTGAGGAAAATCCAGTATGTTTTATCAAGGTGTCAGTAATTGTCATTATTCTCAGGAAGGAATCTCTGTGGACTTTCTCAGCTCCTTGGGATCATTGCAAAGGTCAGGCACACCACAGTGTGCTATCTTGGTCATGCTGTGTCTAGCCCTGCTGCTGTAAATGGGTTTGCCCAGCTCTTTGTGAAGCCTGGAAGAGGCTGTGTGTGTCCCCGAGACAAAGGGGCAGATAACCAGGTGTTGATTCCATGGGGTATTTTATATTACACCTGTGTGCTTCCTGTAGTGCATCTGAGATACTGCAGTGTCTTCTGTGTGTGTGTTGAGAGGATTTAATGAGTCTTGCTGTGTTGTTCTTAATGTGATTACTGAGACGTCTTTATTCCATTTTATTTTCACACTCGCTTTTCTCACCCTTGTTTTTTTTTGCTTTTAGAGTCTTCCAGTAGCAGCAGTGGGTCTGACAGTGAGAGCGATGAAAAAAGACCAGTCTTCAGCAATGAATTCAAACAAGACTCACTTGTGGAGGGTACTTCATCTCGCTACTCAATGTATAACCGTGTCTCCCAAAAGCTCATGGTAGGTCAAAATAGTTTGGGACCAAACTATTAAGACCTGATGAGAGCAAAGTGAAAAGACTAGTCTATTTTAAGAGATTCTGATCCTCCTTGTAGCTGGGTTCTCTGCTTCTTTGAGCCAGCAAAGGGAGAGGCTGAGAGGGCTTGGTTCAAGGGCATCTGTTGAAAAAGAACGTTGATTCATGTTCAAGGCGTAGGAGCAGGAAGGTGAATGTGAAGGGAAGGATCTCTGGGTCAGCCAGCTTGCTGAGCTTGGAAAAAAGAGTACTACCATGTCTTATTTTGCAGTGCTTGAGTTAGAAAATGCTTTGTTAGAAAGGCCTTAAACTGCGTGATTGACATTAATTTGTTTGGTCTTGGAAGCTGGCTGGCATACCCTTGTAGAATTATTAACTAAATTATTAAGATATTTCTTTTTCTTTCAAGTAGTGCCACTCTGCTTTATGTAGGACTGGAATTTTTTGGCAAGGCAGGAAGCTGTGAATGATAGTGACAGGGACAACTAAACTTTGAAGGTGATCACCAACCTCTTAATTGCAGTTTTAGCATGGGGAAGAAAGTACTTTTAGGAAGTTCTAAGAAGATGATTGACCGTGTTTCGTGGTAGTCCCAAATTCGGCAACTTGTTGCCAAGTTTAAAGGCAATAGTAGGCTGTAGAGAAGAGGAGTCTTTTTCAGTGGATGCTGTGGCACTTACTTCCTGATGCGAACTTCATTAGTGTGGTATAGCGAGTATCTCATAGTCCTTGAAAGAATTTCTGGTTTTGATAACAGAGAAACAAAAGTGTTATTTCCAAGGGCAGCAGAGAAGGTGAGACGTATAGTTGTGTATTACTTGAAATGCAACAGGAATTTTGGGACTCCTGTGCTGGAATTCAGGTCTCCTTTTGTTCTGTGTTGGTGCTGTACTCACAGGACCAGGGGTCAGCAATCTTTCCATGGTGGTAGGCCAACTTCTACCTGCCTTTGCCAAGTTAGAAGTTCAGTGTTCTGTGAGAAGCTGGGAAGTGCTGGCTGCTACTAGGAGTGGGAACAGGGAGATATTGCCTCTCAAGGAGGTGGAATGCTGCTGACCTCTAAATGGAAAATAGGCTGAGAGTTGCTGATTGTGCCTTTCGATAGATAAACCCTGTTGCTGATCATTCAGAAGCTGTCCACATGCATTTTTGGCACTGGGCTGCAGTTTGTTGATTCTAGCACAAGACTGTCTTTTACTTGGAGAGCTCTCTCCTGAGCCAACTGGGACATGTGCTTTCAATGGCCACAGTGCAGGAGCTTTTACTACTAAATTTGGGAGGCTTTTGTTTGTAAGGCCTCAAATCTGAATATAAAGATCAATGTGATATCAAAGTCTGTTTGAATGATTTGGTAGCATTAGGTGAGTAAAAGGAGACTACTCCTTAATTACTAGATGTTCAAAATTCTGTCCTTGGAAACCAGTATATAACAGGCTTGGTGGCTGTCATATATGGTGTATATATTTCAGTGTGATTTGAAGCCAGGTAGCAAAGGCAATGGGAAAACACCATGTACCTTTGTATAAAACGTGTCAGATGTTCTTGTGTTGTTTCTTGTACAGATTGGTAATAAACAATGTTTTTGTTGCTTCTCACAGGAAAGAATATATGGATAACATTCATTCAAAGTGAAACTTAAGGATTAAGTCTTTTATTTACTTATTGTCTTGTAGATGCATACTGGAGGGAGTGAAATTGACTGTATTGATGCTTTTTGTTGTTCTCTTGTTGCTAAAATTTATGAAGAGAAAAGCCTGAAAAACTAGCAGTTGATGAACATATTTCTTAACCTAAGAGATGAGAATGTGTTTCAGGAGCAGTGTCTTGCATTCCTCCTCTGAGTTTTCTGTGAAGATTTAACTGATGCTTGAAATGTATGTGAGTGCATGTTCACAACAAAGAATATCATCACAACATGAGTTTTTTCCTGTGCCAGCATCTTTTTGTTTTATGAACCTTCCATGCTTATTGAACACTGTGATGAATGACTCCAGGCTCCTCACTACTCCCTCTGAGTAGGCTGTTCCTGCATTACTGAACCTTTTGTAATTTGCTGTCATCTCAAACATCATTCTTCAAATCTAGTTTTTTTATGTCCTGCCTCAGTGAAGTGAGCTCAGTATTAAGTCCTGAAAGCCACAGCTGAGATTACAAATGCTCAATGCCTTCAAGTCACTTCAGGGTGATGTGTTGTTTTTCCTGCTAGTCTTTGACACCAGCAGTAGTATATAAACTCAAGTCCACTTTCCTTATAGTGTGCTCCCTTTGCTTTCTTTATAGGCCAAGATGGGCTTCCGGGAAGGAGAAGGTCTGGGAAAATATGGCCAAGGCAGGAAGGATATTGTTGAGGCCTCCAATCAGAAGGGAAGGAGAGGCTTTGGGCTGACCCTCAAAGGATTTGATGGGGAGCTCAATATTGATTGGCAGGGTGAGCCAGAGGTAAGTACTTCCTATTTTGAATCCCTTTTCTATTTTGCCCCCTGGGAACGATGTTTAGTGTTGTCTGATACAACTGGCTACCATTACGTGGTTCTACTGGGTGGACCCAGGCCTTATTTTGTCCTAGAAAAACATGGCAAAACTTCTTTTCTGTCACATGTATCAATGTTCTGGGAGAAAATTGGTTTCAGATGGATTGTTGCTGTGGTCTGTAGGATTTGTTTCTGAGTTTGCAGTAGTGAATGTGATTGAAAATTGTTATCAAGCTCTTTTGAGTTTACCATATTTATTTTGAATATCATTTTTAATGCCTATATAGGTGATTAAAAAAAAAAAAGTCTTTTTTGGGTGTGTTTAATATCCCAAATAAAATGCTCACATATTGTGTTGTATTCCTGTGTCTTGTCAAGCTCTTCAACAAGGAAGAACACCGGGAAATAGAAGTAGATATTGTCAGGAAAGTAAAGCCCAGTTTTGATATTATTTGGTGCGATTTGTATTTAAAAAGAAAAAAACCCCACTGAATTGTAGGGATCTGGCAGCTGGAGATTAAGCCAGAAGTTCCCAGCCATTGTTAGTCAAGGACAGCAATGCTTGTCAAGTTATGTATGGTGCATGTTATAGTACTCCACTCTCCATTCTTTAAAATGTTTTCAGCAGTTGAAAATAGTATCAGAGGTTATTGCTTGAGAGACAGGAATTTGAGACCTGTTCTATAGGCTCATTGCTTTAGGTCCTGTCCTCCAGTGTGTTTCTACAGCGCACAGCAGTTTAAGTGTTATCACCCTTGTGGATAATACTACTGTAATAAATATAAGAAGGTTAGTAGATCTTAGCAGCCTCTCTTTGTAGAGAAGTAGCATCACTTTGATCTTAACTGCTGAAAGAATTCCTTCCCAAGATTATAAAAATTATTCAAAGCCTGAATGAAGTTGTGGGATGAGGGAGCCTTTCAGAAAGAACTGGGAGAAAGAATGTGTAAAGCACTGTCAGGAAGTGTGTTTTTTCTTGGCAACTGTCTGTCCTGCAGTGTCTCTAAAATGTACCTTGAGAGTACTAGACTTTTGCTTTGTCTTGATTATTTATCAGGCTCTAATGAGAGGAAAGTGGTGAGGGTATTTTTTCTTTTGGTATTTTTAGTTATAAATATTAAGTCCAAACAAATAAGCCATGTTTTAGACTAGGACCTTTGGCCACAACAACCCCCAGCAGCCCTATAAGCTTGAGGAGGAGTGGCTGGAGAGCTGCCAGTCAGAGAGGGACCTGGGGGTGCTGATTGACAGCCGGCTGAACAGGAGCCAGCAGTGTGCCCAGGTGGCCAAGAAGGCCAATGGCATCCTGGCTTGTGTCAGCAATAGCGTGGCCAGCAGGGACAGGGAAGGGATCTGACCCCTGTACTCGGCACTGGTGAGGCCGCACCTTGATTCCTGTGTTCACTTTTGGGCCCCTTACTACAAAAAGGCCGTTGAATGACTCGAGCATGTCCAGAGAAGGGCAACGAAGCTGGTGCAGGGTCTGGAGCACAGGTCATAGGAGGAGCGGCTGAGGGAACTGGGGGTGTTTAGTCTGGAGAAGAGGAGGCTGAGGGGAGACCTCATCGCCCTCTACAGCTGCCTGATGGGAGGTTGCAGAGAGCTGGGGATGAACCTCCTTAACCAAGGATGAGAGGGAATGGCCTCAAGTTGTGCTAGGGAAGGTTTAGACTGGATATTAGGAAGCATTTCTTTAAAGAACGAGTTGTTAGACGTTGGAGTGGGCTGCCCAGGGAGGTGGTGGAGTCCCCATCCCTGTAGATGTTTGAGTTGGGTCGACATAGCGCTGAGGGATGTGGTGTAGTTGGGAACTGTCAGTGTTAGGTGGATGGTTGGACTGGATGATCTTCAAGGTCTTTTCCAACCTAGATGATTCTGTGATTCTGTGTAAAAAGAACTCTATGATTGGCTCTAAAGTCATGGCATAACCCCTTATGCTAGGATTAGGAGGCAAACTTTTGGGAAGCAATTAGTTGTTATATTTTGCTAGTAAAAACTTCTTTGGCTTTTCCCATGTCTTCTATTTGCAGCCCAGTGCCTACGAGGAGGTGGACTGGTGCCTTGAGTGTACCACGGAAATCCCTGATGCCCAGGAGCTGAAGGAGTGGATGACTGTGGGGAAGGTAATTTTTTTAGATATCGGTATTTACCAGCCTAAGATGTCACAGGACTACTCAGTCTGAAAAAACTGCCTTGTCAAAGAGTTGTAGAGTAACCTGGGGTGGAGGAAACTCTTGGAGATTGCTAGTGCAGCCTCTTGCTTAAAGCAGGTTCAACTACATGAGGTTGCTCAAGGCCTTATTTGGTTGAATTTTGAGTATCTCCAGGAATGGAGATTTCATAACCTGTTTGAGCATCTGTTTCAGTGTTTGACCCAGCTGACGGAAGAAAATTTCCATAGAGCCAATTGGCATTTTTTGTGTTGCAGGTTGCATCTGTTTTTTCTTGTCCTATTACTGTCCATCTCTTAACAGTCTAGATCAGTTTTCTCTATTTCCTGCCATTAGGTACTTGTGGACGGCAATAGGATTTCCCTTTGTCCAATCTGAACAAGCTGTTCTCTCAGTCTGTCCTTGTACACCAGGTGCTTCTACACCCTTGTCATCCTGGTGGCCCTTTTGCTGGGCTTGCTGCTGTATGTCTGTCTTGTACTGGGAAGTGCCAAACTAGGTGCAGTATTCCACATGTGGTCTCAAGATGCCTAAAAGGGGAGAATAGTTCCTCAGCCTGCTGGCTATGCTTTTGCGAACAGTCTAGTATGTCACTGGCAGCCTTCATCTGTTACTGATATATGTGTCATTCTGAGATGACTGATACCATGTTTGCTAATTGTTATGTGTTCTCGTCCTGTTCCAGAGGAAGATGGTGATTGAAGATGAAACAGAGTTCTGTAGTGAAGAGCTTTTACGTAATGTCCTGCAGTGCAAGGTGAGTCCCCTTCTTTAGAGAGGAACTGAAGTTTTGGAGAAACATGTGAAATAAATACTTGAAAAGGACTGTATAGTTAAGTGATTGGCAAGAGCTCAGAACATCCTCTTTTACCTCTCTACCACTGGTATGACCTAGCGTCCTGGTTGTTACTGTCTGTTCAGCAATCTGTTTTGCACCTCAGCCTTCAGAGATAAATGGAAACAGTCTCCCTTTCTTAGTTCTACTGAAAGGCTGAAGACTTGAATAAACGAAGGAAATATGCTCCCTCTCTGTTCTTCTGTATTCTGTCTTCCCTTTTAGATTTTATCATGCCATTGTAAATTGCAGTAGAATATGAGTGTGTGTATATGTGTGAGAGAAATACATTGGGCTGGAACTGCTTTTGGAGGGGGGTAACCACATTATCAGGCTCTGGAGCTATCAGTACAGAATTCTTCAGTGTCGCTAAATTTTCTTAAGAATTGGAGTGGCTTAGAAGAAGAGTTAGTATCATTATGTGACAGAAGAACAGTTTATATTGGTGAACCAAACCCTGCACGGAGGTTGCTGTCTAAGGGGAGAGAAGCATGAGCATAGGAAGTGCTTGTGCCTACCTGTCCCTCAAGCCTGTGCTATGTTGAGCTCAGTTTTGTTTGTTTGTGCAGAGTGTATTTGATGAGCTGGATGGAGAAGAAATGCGTCGAGCCCGAACAAGGTCTAACCCTTATGAGATGATCCGTGGAGTTTTCTTCCTGAACAGGTTTGAAGAACTTCTGGTAGTGTAGCCCCTTTATGTCTGCTTTCAACCTTGGGAGCCAAGGTTGAAGCTTAATAGGTCCCTGTTTGTGTGTTCACAGGGCTGCAATGAAGATGGCAAATATGGACCATGTCTTTGATTACATGTTTACAAACCCTAAGGATTTCCATGGGGTGAGGGCCTCTATTTAACCTTCAAACAGCAATGCTTTCTCAGAGGATGGGGAAGATGGGGAGAAAGGAAAATCCTTAGGATACTAGTTGGGAAAACAGGTGCTTCAAAGAGACTTCTCTGACTGAATAGTGCAGTTTATGGTGTGTCTGTGTTTGACTGATGGGCGCTGGTACTGGGTCAGTAGAATTTCCTCAGTTTCCTTTTGCAGAGGCCTTTGATAAAGGAGCGAGATGCAGAGCTGCTCTACTTTGCTGATGTGTGTGCTGGTCCTGGAGGCTTCTCCGAGTACGTCTTATGGAGGCGGAAGTGGCATGCGAAGGGATTTGGCATGACCTTGAAAGGACCAAATGATTTTAAACTAGAGGACTTCTATTCTGCTTCCAGTGAGCTCTTTGAACCTTACTATGGTATGTAGCGTATGCATGAGTGTTTACCTGACGTTTTTACTTATGATGCAGCCTCTGTATCAGGAGCAGGACTGGTACTGACACCAGCATGGGCATGTAAGAGAGGCCTGTTTAGAGAGAACCATTTTGGAAGGTAGAAGGAGAGGGTCATCTGAGAAAGGGTTTGAGATTGATGAGCTTGCATATCAAGTTACATTTCTGCATACACTTCCAATCTGCCCAGGGAATGTGTGTCCTATTGTAATAGTTGATGTTTGAGTACTTTGCTTATCTGAAAATTGTAGAGTGCTTTAAGATTGACAATATTTTTCCGATTTCACTGATGAAGTGCAACACAGCAAGTGAGATGACCTACCATAGAATCACAGAATGGTTTGGGTTGGAAGAAACCTTAAAAATCATCTAGATCAAACCCCTCTGCCATGGGCAGGGACACCTTCCACTAGACCAGGTTGCTCAAAGCCCCGTCCAGCCTGGCCTTGAACACTGCCAGGGAGGGGGCAGCCACAGCTTCTCTGGGCAACCTGTTCCAGTGTCTTACCACCCTCACAGTAAAGAATTTCTTCCTTATATCTAATCTACATCTACCTTCTTTCAGTTTAAAACTGTTACCCCTTGTCCTGTCACTACCCTCCCTGATAAAGAGTCTATCCCCATCTTTTCTGTTGCCCCCTTTAAGTACTGTAAGGCTGCTGTAAGGTCTGCCTGGAGCCTTCTCTAAGCTAAACAGCCTCAGCTCTCTTGGCCTGTCCTCACAGGGGAGGTGCTCCAGCCCCCTGACTTGCCCAAAGATCTGTTTGCGGAGTTAGAGATAGAAACCTTACTTGTCTGACTGACAGTATGCTTCTGTGACAGACCTCCCTAGCTCTTCTTTGATGATTGTGGGCTCTTAGTAAGGATAAATAAACCAGATTTGGGCTAGAGGCTATATCTGAATCACTGTGACTAAATTAGCTGCTTAATCCAAAGAGGTTTAAGGTAACATGTTTTACATTGCTTTGAGAAAGGCTAAGCAGGTGTACATAGAAAATTGCTGTGTCTCACCTCATGGAGGGTAACGTGTTAAGCTTGGTGATATCTTTGAGCCCTCTATTTGCATAGCCTCTAGGAATAGGGAGGGAAATACAAGGATTGCTAGTATTCCTGCTGCTTATTTCAGACTGTATAAAGGAAAATTGAGTGTGCCTGTCTTGTAGAGAAGAGGGTTTGCTTTTCCATTGTGCTTGCTTTTTTTTTTTTTTTTTTTTTTTTTTTCTTGACTCTTCTTGACTGCCACTTTTGACACCTGACCATGAACTCTTAGAGAATTGTTAGCACTTCAGGATTAGATCTGTTAAAGAGGAGGTTCATGGCAAGGGCAGCAAAGCAGATAAATACATTGTTCTAACGGTTGCAGTATTTGGATCTTCATAACTCACTGCAAACTGGTGCTCTTATGGAGAGAAGGAGATATCTGGAGAAATGAATAGCCCAATGACTTTGATGCATTTCCTTGATCCCTTTCTGTCTGTTACGCTATAAACTCTAGTGAGATGTGTACAAACTCTTCCAGTGATGGGAAGGGAGCAGACTGCTGTGTTATTTGTGTTGTGAAGAATGGTAACAAATTCTAGCGTCAGTTCACTTGCTGACAGGATGATTGATGAGGAATTTAGTTTTCAAAGCACTATCATGCATCCTGATCTCTGCTACTTTCTAGTCCTCCAGTTCAGTTAATAGAAGCTGTAGCTGTAGAAGATTTATAGGGACTAATACCAAGTAGAAGTTCAGGCTTCTTCAAAGTCAGAATTAGTGAGCTCTAGAATACACCTTAGATTAGCTTTCTAAAACACCAACCTGGGGGGCAATGTACTGCTCTTTAGAAAGAGCCATATAGGAAAACTATGAACATTCATGCACAAACACTATTTCCCTTTCCCTACTCCCTTTATAAACTTGTTTGCTGGGTTTTTTGGAGGTTCCTTTCTTAAATTCCAGATTACATTCTGTTTGGAAATAGTATTGTGTTTCTTTGGAATGATTTGAATTCTTAGTAGAATGTAGAATACTAACAACGTAAATAATTTTGTCTTGTCTGTAAAAATGTGTTATTAACAGGTGAGCTGTGCAGTGAGATTGAACCTTAGATTTTTAGTAGGTTCAGCTATGTGTTATTCCTACTTGGATGAGAATATTATGTTGTCATGTGGTCAGTGCTCATCTTGGGAGGGCAGTGAATGATTTGTCTTTTGCTGAGGCTAATGTACAACTCATCATTTGAGCATGGTTGTTATATGGCTTTGTTTATCCCTAACCACACAATCTGGATAATTTTCCTAAATAAACAAGCATCTTTGGTTGTGAACAAGGGAATACATTGATGCTTACTCGCCTGTCAAGGTCTGTGTAATTTCTGACTGATTAAATACCATAGATCACCTGTACATACTGGTATTTTGTCTGTATTTGCAAATATGTTACTAATTGTCTCCTCTTTTTCTTGTAGGAGAGGGAGGGATTGATGGAGATGGAGACATCACTCGCCCGGAGAACATTACTGCTTTCCGGAATTTTGTTTTGGACAATACTGATCACAAGGGAGTGCATTTCTTAATGGCTGATGGGGTTGGTCCATTTCTTTTTCTTCCTGCACTAATGACCAAAACTGATACCCCAGTCTGCATATAATAGGATATTCAACATGTGTCCATAGTTACAATGTCAAATTCTTCAAGGCTTGCCATTAAAATTCCTGGTGGTAGTGGTTTTTATTCTAAATAAACATAAATTATCATGATTCCATGATGTAGCTATATGGAATCCTTTGCTTGACCAACAGATTTGTGGAAATACTAATTACGTGCTATGTGCTCTGCAGGGTTTCTCAGTGGAGGGTCAGGAGAATCTGCAAGAAATCCTAAGCAAACAGCTCATGCTTTGCCAGTTCCTTACAGCACTGTCCATTGTCCGGACAGGTATGTTTTAGCCATTAATCTTCTTCCTCCTTTTCTAAGGTGGGGATGGCATTGTGGAAGGATGTTGTAGAGTTTTTATTAGCATGCCATAAAATCTGCTCTGCAGTGAGGCGAGTTGAGCATGTGCATGTACAACCTGAGATGGTTGTCACAAAGCTAAGAGAACTGGGGCAGAAAGATAAGATTATCTATGTCTCTTCTGCTTTTTATTAAAAGCTTGCGGTAAAATGGATTGGTTTAAAGCTCTCACATTGTTACGTTATGTAGCTGTCTTGGGCTAAGGTTGCTACTGTAATAACTGGACAGTTTATCTGAGTTATATGGCACTGGCGGGACCAACTGCTTTCTGAATATTCTAGTGGGCTGGTTGGAACAGTGTGGTGTTTATCCAGTTCATCTTTACCAGTTCATCTTATTTGTGGCTTTTCTCCTTTAAATCTGCCATCTCTGTGAGCGGAACAAGACGATGTCTTGCATTGTCTTAGCTGTAACTCATCATTGCCAAATGATGGACATTACAGCTTTATCTGATTTTGATGGCTTCTCTCTTCTGCTGAGTTTAGTTAGTATTTGGCTTTGATACAGAAGATAAATGATAACATAATGAGTATTTTTATCTTGTGCCCTATGTTTAGAAGTACCTGAGGCAATGATCTACTTATCAGTAGTCTCAAATGTGATACAGTAAAAGGAGCAACCTTCCTTAAGTTTTTCCTGTCTGGGTAGCTAATAGTTCTGTAAGACTGACTGCTTTTTGCTTGGGGAAATTGGGAATCTTGTTTGAAGGCAAGGGGCACCATAGACTCTTTTCTTTCTAGACAGCGAGTTATTCTGTTTAGGTAACATCTGTTAGTTTTCTCCTCCAGCCTGAGGTTGCACGTATCAGAGCTCTTCTTCACTGAGGCTTTTACGTAGCATGCTGCCGTGCCAGAGGGCACAGTCTGTGCCTGGAAGGGGAGGGTGGGAGGTGGATAGAAGGTTTGCTTGTGAGACAGCATGCATACTAATTGGATCATGGTCAGGGAAATGCTTTTCTCTTTGCTGCAGAGATATGGGGAAGATGGTTCATGGAGCCCCATTTGTCCCCCTTCATGAATGTGTTTTAGATGCCATTTAATTGTACAGAAACACCACTGCTGCTGGAGAGAAAGTTACCGAGGTGCCTGGTATCAACTTGTTTCCTTATAATCTGCTGTTATCGGTGTGCTTCCTTTCTTTATTTTCCAGGAGGACATTTTGTCTGCAAAACCTTTGACTTGTTCACTCCATTCAGCGTGGGACTTGTTTATTTGCTGTATTGCTGTTTTGAGCGAGTGTGCATCTTTAAACCTGTGACAAGCCGCCCAGCTAACTCAGAGAGGTGAGATTCTTGGTCGTGAGGGACTACTGAAGAAACCCTGTCCTCTAAATACAGTGGTAGACAGCTTTGGGTAAGTCTAGCAGAAGCTCTGTGACCTGCCTCAATTGGCAACTGTCTTGGAGGAGGAAACATTTTAGATGCTTACCAAATTACGACGACAAGGTAAAGAAGATATTTGCCAAATTACCCTTCTGGGGAGAAAGCAGGGAACTGCATATATAACAAATCCTCTTTTTCATGAAACAATGTTTCCAAGAAAGCTAGAGCATATTATGTGCGTTGTTATTGTATCTGTCAAGTTTAACAGAATTGCTTTACTACTTGAGAGAGATCTGTGGGGTTTTTCAATAGGATTGAGTTTCCCAATCTTTTCAGAGTGTAAAAAATGTACGATGACTTTCTGACAAGTAAGATTGCACCTTCCTAGGAATACCCAGGAGGAAAGAATTCCTGGGATTTGGGAAACTGTCCTGATAATGGGAATGTGGCAGGGAAGTTGGCTGTGTGGAAGAATTGAACCCACATGATCCCTCTGCCTTGCTCTGTAGGTACGTGATATGCAAAGGATTAAAGCTAGGGATTGATGACGTGCGAGACTATCTCTTCATGGTGAACATCAGACTCAACCAGCTGCGCAACTCTGATGTGGATGTGAATCTTGTTGTCCCATTGAACGTGATCAAAGGCGACCAGGATTTCTATGATTACATTGTCCAGTCCAATGAAAAGTGAGTGCCCGTGGGCAATGAGCGCTGCTGGCTGTAGGCAGGTTAATCAACACGGCTTTCAGTTGTAGCTTCTTGCACCCATGAAGGTTCTTGTTGATGCTGTTACACTGTTCTGCTTTTGCTCCCTGAAAGGTTTAGCAGGGCAGAGGGACCCTGTGCAGAGAGAAATGCTGTATATTGTTAGTGACTGTTTGGGCTCTGAGTACTGTATAGAAAAGAAAGGTGGCTACTGCCTAGTTCTTACCAGTAGTATTCCTGTCACTTTGAATCATGTTGACAATCATCTATCCTTGCTCTGAGGATCAGAGTGGCTTCTTCCTGTTGTCCCAGCACTCTTCCTTGTTTTGAACCACAGAACAATCTTGGTGATTAATTTTCTCCCTGACTGAAACTTGTCCTCTCTTTCAGCCACTGCAAAGTTCAGATAAAGGCACTAGCCAAAATTCGTGCATTTGTTCAAGACACGTGAGTATATTTTTCTGACTTGTGGTGAGGACTGAATTAACCTACTATAAATTAATTGCTTTGCCCTTTAATGTGTTCTTGATTTGAGCTGGTACTTGGCTTGGCCTTTGGAGCCAGGAAAGAGAATAGGGCATTTAGGCAGCTGAGTTTGTGTGTCTGCTTGAGTTACTTGCAGAAATGTGTGGGTGGCTGGAGGAGTGGAAGTTGATGGTCTATTATCACCCTTGTTGAGAAGGCTTCCATGCATTGTATGGTTTCTGATTTACCATAAGTGGGCCTACTTCTTAGCAGGAATGTAAGCAGAAAAGTAACTCCCAGCTGGTATGTTTGATTCTATAGTAACCATCAAAGCTGGGTGTGGTTCATAGCTCTTCCTTTTCCAGGGGCAATTCAAAGCACCAAAGTTACATACCTAGAATTACCTAAAGCTTATCATGGAAATTTTTTACATAAAACTAAAACCATTGCAATGTATAGGTGTTTCCCTGGTATGACTTTTTTGTTGAGGTGTCATTCAGAGATAATACATAGTAGAAAGTTGAGAGAGTCTGGCAGTCAGGAATTATCTAAGAGTGAATCCGAACATTGACACTGTTTTTTGTGTGGTCTTCGTTGCTGGTTGTAAATAGGGCAATGTACCCAGCTCTTGGAGATGAGCATAAATTCATACAAATACATAACTTCTTGAAAATATTGATACCCAGTGCTGCTTTCTTGAGATGGGGTGGTGACTGCTAATCAGTAGTGCAGACCATGAAACAAAGCTAAACATGGGGATTGGAGATTGGTGGAGGGTGGGGAGGGAAGGCAACATCCTCTTTTGTATAACCTGTCGAGGAACAGTGGATGTTTATGATTCTCAAGCCAGACACTGACAGATACAAGTTTTATAGGGCTGGAATATGTAATGCTGCAAGAGCAAGGAAGTTTTGCCATCTTAACAGTCCACTGTTTTTCTGTAGGACTCTGATTGAGCCACGGCAGGCTGAAATCCGAAAGGAGTGTCTCCAGCTATGGGGGGTAAGTCAGCTGCCAAGTAGGGAGGTTGTTAAGTTGTCCGCTGTGGTGAAACAAGAATGGCCCTGCAGTACAGACAGGACTTTCTAGCCAGAGATTTAATACGTTGTCTTGTGGGAAAGTCAGAGAATGTTTCAAGCTGTTTATGTTAGCAAACAGGATGTTTCTGTTTCATTATGTGTATAGCTTAACTGAGCAGGCTTCTTTGCAGTTGAGAATATTTTGTCGTACACAGAGTGAACTCAGCACCTACTTCCCAAGCAGCAGAACTTTCCAAAAGGTCTTGTTTTGAGTCTGCAGTTTCTTTCCTGAACTTTTTGACTGCAGTGGGGCCACAGATATGGCAGTCAGTTTCACAGGCTAAACATGTGTCTTTGAAACAGTATTTCATCAAAACATGAATGAAATCAAAGATTTAGCCTGAAACTATCTGAAGTTGCCTGTTGTTTACTATGAGGTGCGGTATGCCAACACTAAATTTAAAAAACCCGTGAGACCTTTTATTTGCCAGATGACCTCTCCAGCAACTTGAATCCCAAGAGTGGGAGTTTCAGCGGGCAGGATGTTATGTTGTGTGTTGAAACCAGAAAGGTTTCTATGAATGTGCCAAAGAATAACACATTATCAATTTTGATTTGTTTTCAGATTCCTGATCAGGCTCGTGTTGCTCCTTCATCTTCAGATCCCAAATCCAAGTTCTTTGAGCTGATCCAGGTGAGACCTTATTCAGAAGCTTGTTCTGAGTCCTTTCATACAAATGGAACTTTTCCCCCAGAGGAATTAAGAGATTAAGAAGCTAGTCCTGTGTTATCATTTCACGTAGAAGTTGCATTTACCTACCTGTTGATGTATTGTGTCTAATTTGCCTTTTCCATACTTTGCTCTTTAGGGCACGGACATTGATACCTTCAGTTACAAACCCACTCCTCTGAATTCCACTACTTTGGAGAAAATTCGCCAAGTGTTAGATTACCGGTGTATGGTGTCTGGAAGTGAGCAGAAGTTCCTCTTGGGTCTAGGGGTGAGTGCTGAGAACAGTCTGGGAGTTTTGCTGGTTCATTTCAATATACTGCCTTGCAGTTTCATCCCATCCTTTCCTGTCCTTAGAGGCCAGAAAGGATCCCCATCAGTGGTCCCTGGGACCGCTAGTTATGTTATGTTTTTCCTAACGTCACTGCTTTCTCCTAACTTCACTGCTTTTCACGCTAATTAACCCTGGTTTTGTAATTGCAGCCTACATGGAGACCTGTACTCCTGCTATTGTCTCTAATTATCTTCACTGTCCTTTTAAAGGTGTTCTAGTTCTTTGTCCGGGTATGAAAAGTCACTGACTGATTAGAATCAGTGGTTTTGTTCCTTTGCTGTAGAGATTAAGGTTCTTCCTTAAAACTTCTGACAAAGAAACTGCCTGTGACAGCCTAGGACAAAAAGATTCTTTGAGGGCTGCTTTACAGTTAGTCAGAGGTCTGTCCTTCACCCCTGCCCTTGTGAAGCTTTGGCTAAATCTGGATTTTGCCTTCTACACACAGAAATCACAGATCTATACCTGGGATGGTCGCCAGTCAGATCGATGGACAAAGCTGGATTTGAAAACTGAGCTGCCACGAGATACCCTTCTCTCTGTGGAGATTGTTCATGAGCTGAAAGGAGAGGTAGGAGGCTATTCTCTCCCTTACCAAGTGGCTGCAAATATAATGAGCAGTTTTACCTATTCTCTGTAAGATACTGCAGAACAAATGTTCATTCTGTGCCAGGTGCAAGTTTTTTTGTATATGAACTTTAGAGAAGCTCTTTTGGATTAAGTTCCTTCTTTCTGTCCAGTGCTAGAGATGGGAGCTTTTAATATTATTTTGAAAACACTTTGGACCTGATGTGCTGCTGTTGTCCTACATGCAGCCGCAGATGACGTTGCCGACATGACTTAATGTGTTCTGCAGCTCTTTGGGTATATAACTGGTCAGTAGTGATTTCAGGCCTTAGGGAAGAGATTCTCATGGTATATTCACAGTGTAAGATATTGCTGCCTGGGAATTTGCCTGTCCTCTGGCATATCACATGAAGATGGTTTAGTGCACTGGGCTTTGTGCTGTGGTCCCTGTTAAGGCACAAAGCACTTCTGATGGCAGCTGTGGTCCTGTCCCCTCTCTCTTCGTGAAACAGAATGGCATGGTTGAGATACACCAGTTCTTGGAGGATAGCATGTTACTGTACAATGGGCAGCAGGGAATTTGTGTGCTTCTGATGTCTGGAAAGATGCTTTCTTGCTGGAAGAGAGTGATGTCCTGTCAAAAAAAAAAAAAAAAAGGGCTATAAATCAAAGCTGAAATAGCAACAGTCTGAGTAGTAAGTCTCTGTATTGCCCTCCCTAGGGGAAAGCCCAGCGAAAAATCAGTGCCATCCACATCCTTGATGTCTTGGTGCTGAATGGCAATGATGTTCGAAAGCAGCATTTCAACCAGAGGTATGTAGGATCTGGAGAAACTTCTTTCTTTTACATGAGTAGGAGGTGACTGGGAAACAGTATTCACACTAAAAACAATGCTGAGCCCAGGGAGACAAGTGCATTCAGCTGAAACACTGCTATAAAGATGAACTGTGAATGTACCTGATCTGAAGTGAAGTGCATATGGCCTTTTCCAACTGTACATTCTCTGTGTATGAGGGCCAGGTGTAGCTCCTTTCTTTGTATGGGGTGAACCAGGCACAGTCTGGGTAAACTGAGCATCCTGGGAAAGCAAATGAGCATAGCTGATAACTGGCTGAGGGAGAAGGAATGAGCCCCTGTTTCCTTCCCCAGGGACATGATGTATCTACTAGTCCTACTTTCCTGCTGATACATCAATGTATTCAGCATCATGTGGGCTTGTAGAGGAAGCTGTGGAGACCCGTTCCTAATAGATAAAGCCAGTATCATGGGGCACTGAACTGGGAGGGCAGGGTGATAAGTCTTGCTTAGTACCCTTGTGGCTAGCAGTGGAGGCAGTCTGCATGTACTGAAGTGTCTAATCAGTTATTCTGCTGAAACTGTTACCTACCTGCTGTGCCAAAGATCTTGCTAAATTGCTGGATTCTCCTTGCACTTTCATTCAGGATTCAGTTGGCGGAGAAGTTTGTCAAAGCTGTTTCTAAACCTAGCCGACCAGATATGAACCCCATCCGGTGAGTGATGACTCCTTCCCTCAGCCTGGCATGCTTTGGTTTCATTGTGTTGGAGGATGAAGAAGCTGAAAGAGAGTTAAATTTCAAGATTAAATTCATAGTTCTGTTATGGTCAGTGGAAGGAGGCTAAAATTCCTTTAAATATCTGAGATAAAGGTTGATAACGGAGAAGTTGTGCCCTTTACATATCAGACAGTCATGTTTTTATCATAGGTGGATTGGCTGGTGCTGACTTCAAATATGTGCTATAGTATGTCTAGCACTCAGTTAGCTTAATCATTGCAAAGACTTCTATGTCCTTGTCTGCCCTGAAGAGTCAGCAGCAGAACAGAGATGATGATTTTTAGTAGATAAATGAAGTGCTGATCAGCATTTACAGTCTCCAAATGCTTAGCCTGAGGAGAAGGCTTTAGTTACAATCCCAAGAAAGTTCCTGACAAAGGGCTTCAGCTTTGGTTGCCTTCTGACCTTCCATTTGATTAATTCTGCTACAGTGAAGCATAAGAGCATCATTGTGCTGGGTATCAGATAGGTATTGTGGAAAAAACAGCTTCTGTTTCAGAATCTGGAAGTGCTGTGATACTGTGAGAGAAGCTGGAGGAAAGGAAAGAGGATGCTCTCCTTAGTGTCTTAATGAAAGATGAGTGGGATCTCAAACTCAAGACACAGTTGCAATAACGGGAGGAGCTCAGAATGTTGGGGAGAGCTGTAGAAAGGGGTTGTAGAGGGGTTCTTTGCTCTTACGAAAAGGTGTTCAAGCTGTGTTCTTTGAAGCCTGATGCTTTTAGCAGTGTGTGGGAAATGGGGGCTGGGGTGTCAGATCAGAGGCAGCATTTTTGAAACTTCCCAATTGTTTTATGGTGTCTCAGAACAGCAAAACCAAAAACAGTCTGACATAAGAACGATAACTCCAGATCATCTTTACTGATTTAAAACAAACGAACAAACAGCTATTTTTACCTCATGGTGACTAGTGAGTTTGTGGTGTCTCTGAGGATAATATTGATGGAGATTAGGCAGTTTAGTTTTACTGCGTGACCAGCATTCTGAGGCCAGAACCTGCCTGGGGCTGACCTTGGTGAATTTACCTCATGGGAAAACAGAAGCACATGACTTTCATTGTTCTTCCTTTTCTGTATATTCAGCCTGAGGTAAAAATGCACAGCTTCCTTAGCATCAAGGACACTGGTGTGCTGCTTACAGCAACCCACCACGAGCATGCAGGTGTCAGGTTTTCTCAAGCCAGGAAAAATGAGTCACTGGAGCATAAGACTGAGGAGAAGAGTGAACCTCAGTCATGTCTGACCACCTCATGCTGTACAAAATGAACTGATTGGCAAGTCCCTGTAGCTGCGATAGAAAAAGAGGGCAGTTTAATTTTTTTTTTTTTTTTCTAAATCACATTTTTGCCTTTTCCCCCTCAGAGTGAAGGAAGTGTACAGGTTGGAGGAAATGGAGAAGATTTTTGTGAGGTAAGTGACTGGCACAGATAAGAGACTTCAGGGCCCGTTGAGGGACAGGGATGGGAGGGTTGTGCTGAACTATGAGGAGTTCTGGAGAAAGAGCTGTTAGAGCTTGTGCAGCTGGTGACTGCTCTTTCTGAGATGCTGCTGAGTCAGAGCATCATCCTGATGCCATAGATGTGGTCAGTGTGCTTTACAACAGTAGGAGTAGCAATGGTGCTTGAGTTTGTGTGCAGAAGTGTCAGTGGCTTCATGGGAACCCCAGTTGAATTAAGTGTGGTAGATCATCACAGATTTTTCATTGCAACCCTCAGTTTGCTACCTGATCTAGACAGCTCTGGCTGGTTTCTCTAGCCATGTGTGGGAGGGGGAGGCAAGAGACTGAATTCTCCAGGAAGTGATGATTTTGCCCTGTCATGTGCGGTACTGTCATCTTTTCACTGTGACACTCCGGGGATGGTGTGCGGGTGATAGCTTGTATGCAAGAGGATGGTAAATGAAGAAGCAGGGAATCTCTATTACTGCCTTCTCTCAACGTTCAGGTTAGAGATGAAAATCATCAAGAGTTCAGGGGGAATACCCCGGCTGTCCTACACTGGCCGAGATGACCGGCACTTTGTGCCCACAGGACTCTACATCGTACGGACTGTGAATGGTAGGAAGAGAGAGTCCTTGCTTTTATTTAACTTTTCTTTGTATCTTCAAGTAAAAGTATTAACCAGGCTCACCTCTATTGTAACATGGTAAAAAACTAATGGGAGTATTCCAGTGACTAGAGATTAACCATCTGCATGTCATGAGGGTAGCCTGGATTTGGATAAGGTTTAGAGTATTTATATGATAGGGTTTTCTGTTGTGGGTTGATTAGCTATTGTGTGGGTAATTCCATTTATTTACAAGACTGATGACTTTTTTAATGAGATTATAATTTTTCATCAAAAAATATTTTCCAGAGTAACAGTACATGGAAATATCCTATTTGGAATGTCAGTGTTTAAATGTAGGGAGAAGGGAGTTTTCTCAGTCAATAGAGAACAGCTTGGAAAGCAGGTCTTCTTAGGGGAGGGAAAGAGAAAGGCATTAAGAGAAGGATCACAATTATAGATTCCTCCTCCCTGCTTGCACTATATGTGTGTTTATACTGTGCTTTTTTCCCCTTTTCATTTTTTGTCTGATCCCTGTGATTCTTTTGCAAGATCCCTGGACAATGGCATACAGCAAAAACTCCAAAAGGAAATTCTTCTTCAACAAAATGACCAAGCAGGCGACGTATGACCTCCCTTCTGAATCCATTGCACCCTTTCAGTGAGTACAAGCCAGAGCTGAGGCTATGGAAGGATAACTGTGTGTGTGTATGCGGAGGGGGTGTTTGGAAGGGAGTTCAGGCGTGATGTGCTATGTTCTTGCAGTCGTTTGCAGCTTGGTCACCAGCAGGGTGTGCTGCAGAAGCTGGCACCTTCTCAGGAAAGTGCTGAGCTGGATTTGCGGATTTTGCAATTAATTGCTATGAATAACACATATCTTACAACTTTGTTCCAGTACAAGTTACTGAACCTCCCTGCACACAGGGAAATGGAAATTGAGACCAGCAACTGTAATTTGCTGCATCTCTGTATTTTAAGATGCTTGGTTGTATGTTGCTAATTTAAAAACAAATCCCAGTTCATTTAGCCCAGGCTCTGGAATAAGCTGTAGGTAGCTGGGGGCTGTTTAAAGAGAGAGTGAGAGAGAAAAGCAGCAGCTCCCTGGGAGAGGATGGAGTGGCTTGTCACTGGACAGTCATTAACAGTGTCTGTATCTACTGACTGCTAGGTTAAGGCCATGCATGTCTGAAGTACAGCAAATCCTGAGTCTGTGTAACACCTTGGGGCTGATGGGTGGAGATGTTCTGCACACCCTGCCTTCAGTCTCAAGAGATGCCCTCTACTGCCACTCTGCCTCTGAGCAAGAGCTTGATAGGAAATAGGACTCCTGATTTTCTCATTTTGAATCTCCTTACCTTACAGCAGTGCTCTTAGAATCCTTAAGCTTTCCTTAACCAGCTAAATGGATGAATGGGATGTGGTTAGTTCTGCCCCCAGTACTCTGAAGTAGGCCAGCATGAACCTGTGTGAATGGCTGAGGAGGTGGAGGGAGCTCTTGTGGGGGACTCCAGAAGGATGTGTTGTGGTTAGTGAGTACTAATGTGTCTGTAATTATCCACTGACACGTGCTCTTGTCACTGTGCTGGTACTGCTTTGTTAGAACAGTAGCACCAAATAAGCTATGAATATTGTCAGTAATTGTACAAAACTAAAGGCTGCTGTGTCTGCAGTAATTAGCAGCTCTCTTTTCATTATGGCTGGGACTATGTTGATGCAGTGAGGGGGGGCTGTGCTCGATGGATGGAGTGAGAGATGGTGTTGTAGGACCAGAACTCTTGGCAGCCAAGAGGAGCTTGGTTACTTCACATGAGGGGAAAGAGGAGATGATCCTAGCTGCTTCCGTACAGGGTGAACCCTATTCGTTTGCAGAGCTCCCTAGGACAGCTATTACTGATTCTGGTAGGTTTGTGGTGAGTGATTAGATTGCTGCTTGCTGCTGCTGGCACTTTCTAAATTCTTCATGAAGGCCTTTCCATTGCCTGCAATGACAGTCATCCTCTCAAAAACCTGGGGGGGGGGGGGGACAGGACAA